ATTGTCTTTCATTTCGTATAAATAAAAGTTTTAAATAGTTCCAATAGATATGGACTATGGTTTTAAAAGTAAATATTCTTACGACCGAAAGTGAAAAAACCGTCATAAATTTCGAACTAAGCGACCCAAAATAAGAACAATTTAGAAATGACTTAGTTTGGCCTTCACCATAAAACATTCTCGACTAATGTTATACTAATGTTATACTGCTATGTTAACTAATGTTATACTAGTTTACGTAATAATTAAAAAACTACGGGACTAGAAAAACAAGCACCTAAATTAGTAAATACGACTTTATCAAGACACAGCTTTCAATTAACATATATCAAGAGCAACAAAAATATTTTTATAGAACATCAAATCAAATCATATACATTATCAACTTTGAAATCATATGTTATGAAGAAAAACTTTATATAGTCGTTTTAATTTAAAAAGCATAACAAGTGCTTTGATTAATGTCACTTACAAATAAAGTGACAAAAAAGTTGGAACTTAAGCATTGATAGTTTATGCAGCCTTGGCTACCTATGGAAAAACACGATTAGTCATCGTTTCTAATTCTAATTCTAACAAATTTTATACGGACTATAAACTACTTAAATAAAAATTCGAATATTTTTTGAGATCACTGATGATAAGTACTTGCTATGGCCAGCTAAGTCTCGATAAAATAATCATAACTTTGTAGTTGCTTCTTTATTTCTGTTCGAACCCTTCTTAAAAACTTTTCAATTGGAGAGAAAGTAAATATATATAAGCTAAACTAAAATTTAAGATCCTTTTTCTGTTAAATATTGGAGTATATATTAAATATTGTGTATTTTATATTATATTTGTATTTAATATGAACATTTATTTAATTTATATATATCGTTTGAAAGAAACATAAATTAAATTATTTGTTAAATCTTTATGCTTATCTTGGTATTAAAATATATATACAAAATTTAAAATTTAATTAAGTACATTTATTAGAGAACAAATTATTTTTGTGACACAATCTCTTTGAAAAATGTTTCTTTTGACTATTTGGCTTAAAATTTAAAGAAAATACAAACTTAGTTGTGTATATATATATATATATGTATATATATATATATATATATGCAATACCATATTCGAGTATTTCACACTCTAATTTCACTTAAATAACAAACTTATTTTTAACACTTATTATATTCATTAGTTTAATTCTAAAAAAACTATTGAGTTATGCAAATAATATATTACTTATTTAGATTTAATTAAATTGTTAAATTAAATTTAAATTATTTAAACATAAATTTAGTTAAATTAATTAAAAGCAAAAATGTTCACTAATTATAAACAAATTTTTTAACTTATATATTGTTAATATTAAAAACTATCACAGAAGTTTTTCAATTTTTTGTTAATATTTCTAACTTTTAAAACATTTTGCATCCTGCATGGAAACACACTTCTGTAGTTCAAAATCCCAACCAAAACCAATATGACAACGACGAATTGTAAGGAAACCCTTCACGCAATAATAATAATATTGACAGTTGTGAGGATGTGGAAATTGTTGATCGAACCAGGAAGTACACAGCGGCCGATCAGTCGATGAACTTGTAGGCTCTATATTATTAACTGTAAGTACAGAATTTTGTAATATTTAAAATTAGGAAATTCTTCAATTGTATTATCATATACCTTGAGGATCAGTAGATTCTTCTGTTGTTGGTTCCTTCTTCTTGCAAACACTGTTGCTACTGTCACAAGATAAGACTTCTGCATTGAAATATGTACCCTCGGGACATGTACCCAATGTTGAACGTAATCCATCGCATTGTATATATTGATTACAGTTACTAGGGTGAGCCACAAATGTTCCTTTTCGAACATTATTACAATCCTTGTGCGATACAAATTTCAAAGAAATCGTGAAATGACATTGCAAAATTACGATCGATAATATGTAAGTCAAGGCTTTCAAACTCAATATCTTCACCATTTTCGGTTATGTTGTTTTCTTTATAATATTCTTTTTCAATGTCTGTTTACTTACTGCAAACCAAGATCGCTTCTCCAATAATTTATACTATTTAGGCTAAGGTTACACATAGTAATATCGCCGGTTGCACACTTATCAATTTCATATATTTTATTCTTCCATCTTAGATTGTTTAGAGCAAACGTGAAGACGCAGTTTGATAATCGATCAATGAACATATTTTTTCAAATATTTTTATCAAACATTTTGATTAGTGATTGTGTACCCGGCACTCATATAATTTCAAAACATAAACAATGATTTTGTTTTTATTGTTTTTTAACTAATTTGTTTGTTACTTTTATTCCAAGAAAAACGTATTTTTATCAATCGTGGCAGACCTAAGTTTCGAGAAACCATGTGGTTTTCAGTTCGTTGCAAACGTCAACAAGATTAGTTACTCTTCATATACGAAGTTCAAAATTTAGAGTATTTTATTCAATATTTATTCATTTAAATATATATCTTTAAATTCGTGATAATCAAAGAAAACTGAAAATATTAGTGCAACTCCTTTTTAATAAATTAAATTTCAGATAAATAAAAATTTTATACTCAAAATAATATTTTTTATAATATATTTTTAGCAAATCAAATAAATTAATTTAAAAAACAATATTACTAAAATTATTTTAATGTTGTTTTTATGTAAAATTATTGTTTTTATTTGAAAATAATGGAAGTGTAAACAGTTTGAAATCACTTTGAAAGGTGATTAAAAATCACTCCGAAATATATGATTGTACAATATATAAATACTAATATTTGAAGCCATTTTAATTATTTATATTATTTAAAAGTATAAAACAGAGTTCCAATTAATTCTTATAAACTAAAGTTCTGATATAATATATATAATGATATAAATGTACTCTATAGATATAATCTATTGATATTCTCATTGATTATTCTTCATTTACTCTTAAATTTATTTAAATTAAAATTAAAATTTGTACTGAAATAATTTAATCTACTTTTAAGTTATTGAGCAAATTTAATTGTAAAACTAAGTGGATATAAAAAATTGTATTTTTAGTAACCTAAATAAATATAAAACAAAGTTCGAACTTAACTTGTTATATACTTCAATTATCCTACATCATACTCAACAATAAATATAAACTGAGGTGCCCTGCACTTTCAATTGCGCGACTCTAGTGCATGTTTCATCCATGAAAATTCTAATCGTGTGGATAAGTGTTTGATTATTTCGTTTCGAGTTTTTGGTAAATTATGTCAAATTCATTAAAAGAAGAACCATTTTCACATAGCCTCAGCCCAGAATAGCCTCAGTCTTGCCATATGTACACCTAATGATCCTGTGTTATCAGTTTATTAGAGCATCATTGTTTTCTATCAAAACAACTCATTTTATATAACCTTCATTTACCTCAACCATGAACGAACACCATGACCAAAGATTATATCAGCTGTTCATTATAAAGTATGAAGATTAATCCCCAAAAGTAAAAGTAAATTTATCGTTTGGCTCTTACCGTAATAATGAACTTAGAAACATGTATACTACATAATTCCATTTTTTTACTCAGTACCACCTTTTAAGTTCATGTAAATGCTAACATGACACTTGCTATTGAAAATGTTAACTATTCTTAGGCAGAGCAATCTAGGATACAATCAATATTGTGTGATGTTAGTCAGTATCTCTAGTTTCTTGTTACTAAATGGTTAACGTACCCATACATCTGACAACACTAATCCGTTTATATAGTAAGATGTAAAATACTTTTCATATAGGTACCTGTATATTATTCACAATGTACTAATTTTTATACATCTACTATAAGAATTGTTTAATTTAACTCCGCTTTAACTATCTATACGATCAATTTATTTTGACAACGCACTACTGCAAAATCTTGAAATTGTGATTTTATTTTTACAATAATATTAACTTCTAATAAAACTAAGTAACATAGACATCCAACATCGGTAAACTACACAAGGGCTTAGTATATATTCACTTCTTCTAATCAAAGTAACATAGACATGAAAAATCGGTAAACTGAACTAGGACTCATTATATACTCCTGGTTATCAGCTATATGAAAACTAATACTTTTCACATAGCAATATATATACAGTAGGTATACATACTATATATTAGCTATTTTCTTTGACAAATGTAGCGAAGTCTTATAACATAATTGGATAGATTTTGTTTATTTTGGATAATTCCCCTACATAGAAATCGTCTGGTTATTTTAATTATTGTTGCACTGAAATAGAAAATTGTAAAAAAAAATTTGTTAGTCAATTTTTTTTAAGAATAATATAGAGTTAAGCAACTAATAAAAAATACTATCAACTGAAATATTATTAGAAATATCTAAATATGTTGTATTTATATAAATGAAGATATAATAAAAGCTAATTAAAAAATAAATTTACAATAACTAATAAAAAAAACTTTCTCATTAAATCATTTAATTTTACTCATTAGACAAAATAAGCCCTTTCGGGGGTTGGCACCTTGTCGCGGTGAGGGGGCTTGATAGGGGCAATGAGTTCACGACTGCCGGTAGCATAACTACGGGTAGGGCCACTCGTGCCGGTAAGGTCGAGAAGGAGTCTCGAAACGAAGTTCAATCATCATTAAATACTATTGTCTTTTTGAGAACCGAATAACATTCAATCAAATCAAAACGGAAGTAAATCTCCAAGAGGTACCTGACACCAGTCCGCTAATCCGTCTGCTTCGGCAGTCAGCATATCGGATTTATTGGTACTTATTTCACACTGTAATGACAACCCGATCAAAGTAACCAATACAACCAACTTAAATTTAGTTGAGGGTCTATGCTCCACTTAGGAGAAGACAAAAATATATCATCATCAAATAAAATAATCTGTATAAATTTAAAAACTTTTTATTCACTTAATTTAACATATAATATAAAAAATTCAGTTGGAACTAATTCATAATATCACAGATATAGTAAACTAAAATATACACTTTTTAATGCTTAAAACATTTTGCTTCCTGGATTGAAATGCATTTCCGATGGTCCAAATCCCAACCAAAACCAGCCTGACAACGCCGGAGGGTCAGAGATCCTTTTGCACAATAATAATAGTACTGGCAATTATGTGGATGTGGAAATTGTTGATCAAGCCAGGAAGTGCATTGTGGGCGATTAAAAGGCAAGTCTGTGGAGTCGTTGTTAATAACAACATCTGCAGATCCATCAAATGTTGAGATTGTGAAATTTTGCTTTCCGCTCAATAAATTTTCAACTTCAACGTTAGAATTAATAGTATTGCTTATATGTTGTGAATCAACTGAGTCTTTCGATGTTGTTGACTTCTTCTTGCAAGCATCACTGCTGCTATCACACGATAAGACTTCAGGATTGAAATAAGTACCCTCCGAACAAGTACCCAATGTTGAACGTAATCCATTACATTGTATATATTGATTACAATTACTTGGATGAGCAACAAATGTTCCTTTTCGAACATTATTGCAATCCTTATGAGACACAAATTTCAAACAACTCATAAAATGAGATTGCAGAACTACAATGGAGCAAATACAAATCAATATCTTCGAGGTCATATTCTTAATAGTTTGCGAGTATTGTTCTTTAGTCGGGTTTATACGCCAGTATCGATGTGACTTCTGGAACTGCAAGACTAGAGCAATTATCTGACATTTTATACCATTTCGTTATTGGTAACATATGGTACTTTTACTACTTTTAAAGTCCATATCTATTTTCATTTAATCTAAAGGTTTTCTCAATAAAAAACAGTTTGCCGGTATCTGTTTTGTTTTTCCTAAAAGTGTGATAAGTCATCAGTTAGGTTGTTTACGTAAACATTTTTATCAGATATTTTAATTTTTGATACTGAAGCCGGTTCTTCTGTTATTTCAAATAGTAAACAATTTCGTATTAAATTTGTTACGATTTTTCAACTTTAATTTTGTTTTTTATTGTTGTTTATTCCAAAAAGAAATACTCTCAACATGTGCCAGCGACTTAAGAATAATTTTAGTCTTTTAAACTTAAATTTTAAATTCATAATTAGTTAGTTCGTCAAAGCGATCTGTACAATCAATTACTTCTTAGGAAATATAGTTAAAAGTTGCGTTCAGTCTGAACTTCGTATAACAATGAAATATAAAATATTTCCAAATATTGAATTTTAAAATAAAAAACCAACAAATATGTGAAAAAGTTAAAATAATTGAATTTAATATAAATATTAGTACAATATATAAGTGATAATACATGCAATAACAAATATTAAAACCATTTTATTTAAACTAATAATCAGTTCGGTGTTATTTTAGTTGGATAAATTATTACTAAACCTTGAAGAAATAATTCAAAGTTACTTTATAATGATGCTAATCCTTACATCCTTACATTATTGCTTTATTCTTCATCTTCTACCGCTTTGAACGTTGGCTAATATGATTAACACTTTTAAATTGTTGACAATATAGTAAAACAGCAACCGTGTAGTTTTATTGAACCACTGTCGTAGATTTTTAAACCACGTTATCCTTCATCTATCAGCGCCACATCTTCATTCAATTGTCTTCAATGATCAACTTAAGTGGAGCGTTAATCTTAGTGTCTAAAGATAAGACCGAAGTAATCAGTTGTCACTACTTCACTATTTCCAAGATTTCTCTTTGTTTATTAACGCGTAAAAAACTTTCCAAATTGGGGACCAGATCCGTACAACTGATTTTGGGTATACGCCCATATCACCAGATTTTAAAGATTTCAAGCAACTTGAAAAAAAGATAGCATTTCAGTAAAATAATTCTCAATGATGAAGATATTTCGCGGTAACGTCAAAAATTTTTTTTTATTTATAAAAGCGGTTCTTGCTATCTCAAGTCGTACACGGACTTCTTTATAACGATCCCGTTTTTGATGAAGTTGGCAACGTCTATATTTTTATTTTGTTGCCTCTTTTAATATCTGATCCATTTGTTGTTAATCTCGTCATTCATGTATGTCTTCTGTTTACTATCAAATATGGTGTTTTGTTGCAATGTTAAACTATATTTTCTACATTTTCTTGCAACAATTGTTTAAAAGATCCTGTAATCCTTTCAGCCAGTCTCCAATAAGCACTGTATCATCGGTGTATCTTTAATTGTTAATAAGTGCCTCGTTAACTGCATCAATTTGTGCTTTATTATACATTTCTGAATAATAATAAACAGAAACGGTTACAAAATGCATCCATAACGAAAACTCGTATTTTATTTCGACTTCATTCGTGAATTAATTAGCAAAACATAGAAGCGTTACTCTCGGATAACAATGAACGTTAAACTAGATTACGCCACATTGGATTTAGCAAGTGCTAAGGATTTAGGATATAGGAATATCACATTGAGTGTCACACATTCGTCTTTTCAATTTTTATTAAATTCTGAGGAATTTTTTTAATACGAATGATGTATGATGTTACATGGAACATACATATATGAAACGTACTCTAATTTAAGAGTACGTTCCATCGAATTGTAACCAACGTAAAATGTAGCCATTCTTTAAACATCTGTCTAGTGTTTTGATTGTGTTACATTCTATTTTCGGTAATACTTATATATATTTTAACAATAATTGCCTATACTTTAGTTTGATTACTTTGTCATTTAATGTAGACAGTAACTTTCTATCAATTATTACTATTTCAAAATTTCATCCATTTATTGGGTTGCCTGCTGTGTCTAAATCGTGTGAGGTGCTTCACTGCATCTAATTTAACTTTTCTTCTTTTCAATTGTCCGATTGGGATGTAATGAAAGATATGTCCGGGTTTTAGTTTCAATGATTGCTGCTAATAACCAGGATTTCGGTCGGTGTCTATAGTCTCCGATAAAAATTTTTCGTATACCATGAAATTTAACATATCTTTTTGTTTTTAATTATTTAATCTTATTTCTTAGTTTTTCAATATAATATCCTTAGTTATTTTAAGTTAATTGAATTGTTTTGACTTACCTGTTTAAGTATTGCCAAAAACAGTGAGTTGTGCCATGTAAGGAGTTACGGTAATCAATAAAACTCTGTAAATAATTATGGATTGCTATGTGATTTCAGATGTGTTATTCCGCCTTATTACAAATACTACATATTATACTCTCGTCGCTTTAAATTCTCAACCTCTCCTCCATGAATTTATTCCTTGAGCTTTATAAAAATTATATTCTTACATATTGTTAAGTTATAGTTTTTCTGAAAACATTTATACACATTTATTATGAGCAATTATGTGCAATATATAAATATAGATTTTTATTTTCCTTCACAAACCCACATTTTGAAGTTGGTTGCAGATGGAGTTTTTACCGGTTTTACATATATTGATTTCATATCTTTTTCTTAAAATTTTTTAAAAACAAACAAAAATTCAAAACCAATTCTAAGATATTTTTTGTTTATTGTTACTCGCGATAAGCGATCATCAGGTGAGTTATTTTTTGCAAAACCTTTCATCAGATATTTTGTTTGTTATTTTGTTTGTGATTATTACTTCTTTTATTGCAAACTATCAACAATTTTGTTATCGTACTTTTCCGGAACTAATTATTTGTTTTTGTTTATTCGCAGAGTAGTATCTTCGCATCAGCCGGCATTTTAACAACAATTTTAGATATCTCAACGCGCATATTACCATTGCTGTTAACTTTTAATAAATACTCATAGTTTTTATATATTTAAGCTTCTTCTTCGTCTTTGTTCCGTTAACTTCCAGTGGAGCATAGGGTCTCAATAATTCCTCTGAACCATATTCTATTTGGAGCTGCCGTGCAGATGTCGTTCCATGAATAGCGCGCTGATTATAATTCGGTATCAATTGTTCTTCGCCATGTTCTTGAAGAAGCGCCAGGCCGGCGACTGCCTTGCAGGTTCCATATATTTCATACATGGAATGGATTATATGTTTCATATATTTAAGCTAATTTGTTCTTACTATAAATTATTAGATGAATATGCGTGTTTTGTATTATAACATTTAATAATATCATCTACTTTTTTAAATATTTTTATTTCAATAATGATGGTTAACTGTCAGGAAAAACGAATAAAATTTTATTTACTTAAGTTAGGTATTCCAAATATTTTTTTTCGTATACATTTATATTTGTATATATAATTAATAAATTATAAGAAAATAATAATTATAAATATATTTATATTAAATTTTTAAAACACTAAATCTCTTTCAAAATCTTAAAATTCAAGATGCTCCACACCTTATTTTTGAGTACATCGCGGTTTCTTTCTTAACTGTATTCTCTATAAACAAAATACGAGTAGTTAAATAGTTAATAATAAATAAAACGGTTTAAATATGTACTTTTTCAATACCATAAGAACTTTTAAAAATTAATAACATATGCTTTTATATATATGAATTCGACTTAATATTTATTACTATTTGAACACATCACTTAAGTTCAGTCACAAAATACCTGGATTACACATCACTTATACCTACAATGTTCTCCACAATAGTACGAGGTGGTGAGGATTGTAATATTTTTTTACAAACATCTAATCTCGTATAATTAGTCGGTTTAATCTATATATATAATTTATATATATAATTTATTATATATAATTTATAGAAATTGGTATAATTTATAGAAATTGAATGAATTTTAAATTTTAAAAATATATTATTAGTAATGTGAAAATAATTAAATTTGTTTATACATCTTACAATGTAAATGCTAACCTCTGTTGTCCACTTTTTGCCAAATAATGGATTACTATTTTTTAATTCAATTATTGATATTAAACTTAATTAGACACTAAAGTTAATAAATTAAATATAATTGAAATAATCTTAAATAATTCAAAGCTGTGAAGCGAGATAGAACTAACCATTATTGATAACCAAAGGCATGTAAGAGAAACACATATTATTATTTTATAATATATTATAAATATTACTGAGCCTGACGAATTTAACTGAATTTCAGGAAAAAAAAACTTAGCCTGATGGAGCAGGCGATCTTAAGATATTACAAATTAATTAAATAATTAAAATATTTTTTTTCATAAGAAACTTTAAATTTGTGTAATTAATTTAACTAAGTCCATTATATTAATAATGTTATCATAATGAAAAAAAAATAGGTTTTAACAAGTTAGTTCTTAACTAAACGGATTTATTAGCTTTAATTTATATGAATTTTGTTTTACAAAACTCAAAAAAATAAATAAAAATTGCTACTCTTCAACCTTTATTGTATAATCTTTATTATATTTTGTTCATATATTGTAAATTATTTAATTTATTGTTTATTATTTAAAACTTAGTTTGTAAACAGATTCCAGTATAAATAACCGCCTTATATGTTTTTAAAAGCAGTTGTAATAAAATTCCACCCTGAGGAAGAAAAGTCAAACAAACTTTAAAAGCTCGGCGATATTTATATACCATATCCGTACTATATAATAATAAAAATAAATATAAAAACTAATCTATAAACTTTTATTTTCTATTTACGTCAGCGTTTTTTTTTTCCACCAATTGAAAATAAAAAATTACTTCTAACACATTATAGAATTAGATTCTAAATTTAATTTCGATTTAGAATTCCACGATTCTAAGTAATTTTACTCTTTCCCTAGTTTTTGTTATTCTTACTTGTTTTATATATCCTTCGATACATCTTCTTCCATATTTTATAAAGAAATCAAAAACATTTTCTATATTATATTATAATTTTAATTTTAATTTATTATATTATAATCTTAATATCGCTGGATAATTCCACCATCACAAGCATTATAATTCAAAATATTAAAAATTTAATAATACATTATAATACTGATTGGTTATGACTTACACTTTGTGGATTAGTTAGTAACTGTAAGACTGGATTTAAGTACTAAAGATATTTGATCATTTTATATCAATGAATTCTCCCCTTCCGACTAGCATATATTAATTCGAAATATACAGTTCTGTGATAAATCTTGCGAAATGTTTAGGGGCTGACATAGTTTTATTATAAATTTATACGCTTACAGTATTGCTCTATAGTTACATATATAAAAGCAAAAGATATATGGTACCATCCTTTGAATCTTGTGGTTTTACGACTCTAAAGGGGACAATAAATGAAATAAAATAAATAGTGTCCTTCACAAATTAGCTAACTAGGCTTCTTTAATAATCACACGATGATCTTTCAACCATTCAGCGATGTAATGTGCTGATGGATGTAATGATATTAAGTCCATTATCTAATACGATAACATTATTTGTGTTAAAATAATAATTATTTATTTAATTTTGTTTTATTAAAAACTTAGTGATTAAATTATATACTATATCACAGTAATTTTTAAGTATTCTACGAGAATAACATTTTCAATGTTTAATACAATTAGCTTCCGCCAATAAAATACATCTCTGTTGATCCAAGTCCCAACCAAAGCCAGTTTGACAACGACGAATTGTAAGAAAACCCTTCACACAATAATAATAATATTGACAGTTGTGAGGATGTGGAAATTGTTGATCGAACCAGGAAGTACACAGCGGTCGATCAATCGTTGAAATTGTAGGCTCCATATTATTAACTGTAAGTACAGAATTTTGTAATATTTAAAATTAGGAAAATCTTTAATTGTATTATCACATACCTTGAGGATCAGTAGATTCTTCTGTTGTTGGTTCCTTCTTCTTGCAAACACTGTTGCTACTGTCACAAGATAAGACTTCTGCATTGAAGTATGTACCCTCGGGACATGTACCCAATGTTGAACGTAATCCATCACATTGTATATATTGATTACAGTTACTAGGATGAGCCACAAATGTTCCTTTTCGAACATTATTACAATCCTTGTGAGACACAAATTTTAAACAACTCGTGAAATGACATTGTAAAATCACGATGGACAAAATACAAGTCAAAGCTTTCAAGCTTAAAGTTTTAATCATTTTTAGTTCTATTATTTAATTTGGACACTCTTCAAGAGGTCTCTTTTCTTACTGAGCAATTTATTCTCGTCTCTAGTATTTTATACAACTTTGACGTATGGAGTTTTGACTCTTATCATTTTTCTTGAATCTGTAGATTTTAACCAGACAATTGAGTTATTTTTCCCACCATTTTTTATCAGATTTAACTTGTTATTCATGATAACTACTCAGTATCGTTCTTTTTTGTTTTAATTTTATAATTAATTTTTGCTTCTAATAATTCTAAGAAAATATCAGCCTCAGCTGATGTTTTGAGTACAAATTTTGAATTTTTATTGCAATGTGCTTTTCAACTTTGACGAAGATAGCTGTACTAGTTGCAATATTGAAGAAATGTTTAAAATAATAAGACATAAATAAACAAATTTCAATATAATGAACAATAAATATATATAATATTTAATATAATATATATAAATATAATATATATAATATAATATATATAATATAAATTTAATATAATATATAAATCTAATTTTATTTCCAAGTCACCATTTGTGAAATATCGGACTTCTAAAATAAATCAATAATATATATAAGTTTTATTCAATTTTTAATGATTAAATACACATGAAATATATATACATAGTATAATTATTGACAACGCCCAGTACTGTTACCTTGCAGTACATATGAATCCAAATTAAATATTCTGATAATAATTTTATAACTGCAAAAACAGTTTAAAAATATTCTTTTGATTCTATATTTATATTTAAATTCTAATGAAAGAAGTTCTAATCATTTAAACCTTTTTTATATATCTAGTGGTAACAATCAAATACAATAAAAAGTGAATTATATCTTTGCCATAACTTTACTGCCTACAAGCAAATAAGTTTGTTATATATAAAATATTGACTTATAACTATATTTTAAATAATAACCATCTTTTTCTAAATTTAAATATAACAGACGTAATCACCATTAATTTGAAATGCAAGTTTAATTCTATATTAGATCACTTATATCATCTACTCAGCGGCAGGACTAAGAAATATCATCCATTCAGCGACTGAAACATCACTCTTCACATTTAGTTGGAGCATTTGTACAAAATATACGGAATTAAAAAGTTTAAAATCGCTTGTAAAAGATATCCTGTTTTGCAAGACTTTTAAACTAAAAAACTGTACAAATGTGATCAATAAAAAACCATACTCACCTGATATGACCCCGAATGTCTTCTTACTGTTCCTGAAGTAAAAATTATAGCTTCGGTAAAGCCATTTCGAGTCGATTGCGGCCATAAACAAAAATTCGCAGAATGAGTTAAAGGCAGAACCCTTATCAGCCTAAGGAAAGTACATGGAAGATTGGGTCAAACGTTAAATAGTTGCAATACATTCGTCGTTAAAGTTCATTTCCGATACAATGTTCGCAGTTATATTTTTACTTAAGAAATCGAATTATTTTGCAAATTGACTACATGATAAAAATTAAAAATATATTTATAATTAATTATTGCATAGGTAAATGTATATTGATATATGTATATATATACATAGATAATATGTCCAATATACAGAATCATTTATGAATATTTTATGTGTCATTAGCTTTTTATTAAGTTTAGATAATAAACGTATAATCTTAATTTGTAATAATTAAAATTATAAAATAATTTGATTGATTTGAATTACGTTAACACATGACAACAGAAAATTCTACAGAATCTATTAAAATAGTATACCCGTTTTATTGAAAACATATAACAGCATCTATGACAATATTGCACATATACTTAAAAACGAGTACACTGCCAAAAAGTATTATGTATAATAAATTCATTAATTTGATTTATACAATAACTCAAAAGTATTCCATTGATTAAAGATTGAATGTAATCTAATGATATACAAAGATAAAAAATTATTTCAGCAAATCTAAAGAGTTAATCTTACGGATGGAAGTGATGAGGTTTCATACAGTAGTGAACAACAACAACAACAATTTTTATTATTTTATTTATTTCAATTTTTAAGCTGTTTTAAATTTTGAATAATACCTAACATCAGTGGTTTTGAAATTATTTCTTGTATTTAATTATTCATAAATAATATCTTTCTTATAAATAAATAACTATTTCTTAAAATCATAAAAATGCTGATATATTATATAAAGTACACTTATAAAAACTTAATTGTTAGACTTTATTTAAACATTTAGCATCTGCAATAGGAAGGCATTTATTTTGTTCGAAATCCCAAGAATATTCAAAGCTGCAACGCATTATCGTCAAAAAACCAGCCATGCACTTATAATAATATTCACAATGAAGAGGATGTGGGAAATATTCATCTACGTTGCTCTTGCAGGTCGGACGCTGTGCATTACTCAAACCTGTGGGACTTTCTATCGAATGTACAGTTGTGTATGTTCCATTTACATTTGGGGCTGGAGTCGTATAGTAAACTATATCCTTATCGGATTTACTACTACATTCGAAATCGGCATCAAGTAGACATTGCTGATTGTTTTCATCAAAGTAAGTGCCTTCTATGCATTCTCCAATATATGAACTCTCTCCATTGCAATAAACGTATGTCAAACAATTATCCTTACTGGGCACAAATCTATCACCTCCAATATTTTCACACAATTTTTCTATAACGTCTGTGTGAACATCTGCACAAAAGGATAATGCAGCACCTAAAGCTATTGTCAGTACTAGAGAAAACATTCTGAACTATTAATGTTTTTTAACTATTCGATTGCGAAATGCTGACATTTACTTTATATACAAAAATAAAATTTACACAAAAGTTTTTATCATGACCTCACATTTTAGCTATTATAAAAGATAACAATTTCGATATTTATTTAAATTGATTCTTATCAATGTAACCTTGCGTGATGCTACAGATTGCATTGATATTTTTTGATAATATATTCTTCTTGGTCATTCAACTTATTTTTGCAATAAAATGGGAGCAAGGGCACAAAATTCCACAATCAATAAATTAATGAAATTGTGATATATACATAATTATGACATTAATTATTGTTATTATTATTTTAAAGTAATGTACGGCATGTACTATTAATATTTGAATTTTAATATATTTTGAGATCACTTCAAACCTTAAAATTTCCGAGCACTTAATTTACACATATAAGAGATAAAATATTTTCTGATTCTTCTCATTTATCTGTTGAAATATCTAGGATGAAAATTTAAAAGTATCCTCATTTTAGATTCAGATTTATATGCATGTAAGAATCGTCCAACAATCACTTCAATCTGCAATAAAACAAAATTGAAATATGGATTCTTTGATATCTTGATGCATCTAATATGATGTCTAATAAGTAACTAGAAAGTACGCATATATGATTTTCCTAGATGACAATATACCTTCGCATATATAGAACCACTAACCCTTTACATATAAGCTCGTTAGTAACGATCTATGGAGCATTTTGAACAGATACCTTTATCTGCCAGTCTAAATTGACTTTGTTGACTTTCTTATATGAACTTTCGATATAAATAGTTTGCCTATGTGAATATATAAATAATTCACAGTATCTATCTTTAAAATTTACTGATGGTTAGGAGTTAAAAGGGCCAACTTCCCTCCTATGTCAAAAAAGTTACTTCCATTTTTATAATTTTTGAAGCATAATATCGTGTATAGTACTGGTTCTGGATACTGCATTGTGGCTCTCCAGCACTTGTTTAGTAGATAAATATCTGTATAGTATTGGTCCGGGACACTGCCTTGGAATTCTACACCCACTTATTAGATATACTATTTTAATATATAAAAAAATACTTTCTGTCACTCAGATATGAAATAAGTATTAAGTAGCAAGGTCCTAGAAGTACTCTGTATCCTAAACCTAAATACAATATACAATTTCAATTCTTTCGTCACTTATGATCATTATTAAAATACAATAATCAAATTTTTATTAAATCATAAAGATGAGAGTCTTTACTCTTAACTTCACTCTTTATAGAGTGAGTCTTTATAGAGTCTTTATAGTGGGCAAGTAGAATTGTTCATAGTTTTATCAGTATGTATTCTCTCAGTCTAACCTTACCGAAGGCTATGCATCATGAAATATAATTAATCTAGTACCTTTTTTAACTATATAATTTTTATTATTGTAATTATTTGGCTGCAATCGTAAAATATTTTTGATCTATAATAAAGATCATTATAACATTTATCAGAATACGATGTAATGATTGTATAACATATAATGTTAAAAGTCAAAAAATATTACAAAATAGTTTTTTGTTTATATATTTAAATGAATATTATATGGAATTGCATGGTCCACTTTAAGTTGTTGAGGTTCTTTGAAACTTTGGAAAAATCTGCAAATTATTGCAAAATTCTTTTTATTATCTATAACAGTTTTATAACAGTTTCTTATGGATTTTGGGGTACTGTTCGCAAATACGTAATAAGTATTTGCTGATTATGTCGGATTTTTCAGATAAACTAAAGGCGACGATAATAGTGATTTGTACCTCGTCAAATTTAAAGCTTAAAGTCAGTGTTCATTAGCCAACTGTCTCAAAGCCGAACAAAGCCATATGGTCAGCCAAAAATTTAATTAAGTAAATATGAATTAAAATTTTTGCTGTTGTAATTTAATAATATTTGAAACCTTTTCAAAAAAATGTTTTGGATCTGATTTTTATACCAAAATTCTTGTTGATTCTTCTACAATCAACAAATTGTTGAAAATCCAAAAAATACGAATTCCTATACTCTATGGATCTGGATGTCTAATAGATCAATATATAGTGAAATCAAAAATAATTTCACAAAATTTCTTTAATTTTAAGTGATATCTCAAAAACGTGACGTGCTATACAATATCTAATCACGAATGTCAGATCAACAACAATAACATATATATTATCAATTATTATTTGGACTTAAGTGGGATTCAGTTCAAACTAACAGATATGTAACTTTATTTGCACTTTGAACTGATATCATTTATTAATTTATTTTTGTAATTTCAGAATTACTTAATTCTCGTATATTGTAATCAATTTCACCTTTTATAACAAAGTTCAAGTCTTCTGATCCTGACCGAAAAGTATTAAGTATTGTGTGAATACTTCGTACAGTTAATCCCTCAAATTCACTTATGTGAACCTCTTATTCTAAAGTCACATTAATTAAATAACTTAAGAATTAAATAAATCGACTCGAATATTTTTTTTAATTTATTTATTTAATAGTACAATTTTTAATAATTTCATTTTATCACTTACGTAATTAACAAGACTTACATTATATATCCTATAGTTCTGATCGCATAATTATTAGTTTCAATACTAATTATTTTACTTTTTAATATAATATATTTCTTATTAAATATTTTATCTCTGTCTCTGATATATATATATAATATATTTTTATTTTAGCACGAATTGTTCAAATGATATATCACAGAACAAAATACAGATGAACCAAATATATCTTTGAGTTGTCTCTTCTTAGGTCGTAAAAAATTAAAATTGGACTTAAGAATTGAAATTCTCAAAATTCTAAATTCATACAATTTTTGGCAATAATTAAAATTTCTTAATAGTATACATATTGTTTATACGTAATATAATTTCATAGAAAAATATGTGTATATGCCTATAGATTATAAATATAAATATACATATATATTTATATAATATAAATAGAAAAAAATTGCGCCTTATCGTTAATTGATATCAAATAGAGTAGAAATTTTATATATTTTCAGTTTTATAAGATAGAAAAATATAGAGATTAGAAGGATATGATTGAGCATAAGTACTATGTGAAATATAAAGCAAAAAAGTTAAAATATATATTTTAAATGTTCGATAATTATTCAATATTATTTCAGATAAAATTTTCCATTGGTTGCCTAGTTAAAAATTTAGAGATTGGAACTTAATGAGCATATATATACGCAGGCAGATTCAATTCCGAACACTATTATTAACTGAGTATAGAAATAAACGCAATGTCATTAATATCTTTAGGATTTGTTCCTTTCTTAAGTAATTAATTTAATTAAATTGTAAATTATTACTGTAATTAATGCGATTTAATACTGTGCTTTATATATAGTACGGTAATTTTCTATATACATAATTTATAATAAATTCATACTTTATATATATTATTTGTTTTATTTTTTTTTTTTTTATATAAGTATTTTATCATAGGACGGCGGCGGTGACTCATCCAGTGGTAGTTCCTTACTGTTTTCTGGCAGCAATATAGCAATATGGTATGGAGGTGGTCCCGCTTGCGCAGCTGCTTGTGAATCGTTACGATGTGCATTTGCTGAAAAAATACCGCCATGCATGTGACTCGTACCTAGGCTAGCACCAGCACCACCGATTCCACTGTTTAGGGTACACAACGCTCTGCCGTGTTCGTCATATGTGCCGCCACCTGAACGTGCCGGCATTAATCCTTTTGGTATGCGACACAGCGAAACGGTGCATGCGGCTAGGAAGAATGTGGCAGAAAAAGCACAAAATATCAGTATTTCCAGACCACTGCCTTGATGATCAAAATAAAATTTAGCACCGGCAACGAAAATTGATGCTAAAACTAAGGAAGCGCACATTCCACATTTCAAATGTGTTGGCAGTATTTGGGAATTATTGCTATTATGAACGTGATGATTGGTGCTATTACTTGCGGCAAGCGCCGTATTGACGGTACTACCGGAACGTGTATTTCCATAAGAGCTGGTGCGATTCGAGCTTGCATTTGTGTTAACATAGCTAGTGGTGGTTTGCCGGATTTGCTGCTGCACAGCTACTGCAGTTGTCGATGCTAGGGGGTGTTCGTTATTAGTTGGATTACTGAAATAAAAAGAAATTATTATAATATTATTCCAAACTTAACAATTAATGCTTGGAGTTCTTTATTATAACTAGAATAATTAGGTTAGGTTAGGTTAAGTTACACAGCCGACCCAAAGGGATTCATTTAGGCCTATTAGTTCATTGTGTCCATTTCCGTATAATAGAAAAACTCAGGGTTTAAAACCACCTGGAATCTTTGGTGAAACTTAAAATGTCCTAAAGTATTTGCATGACCTGGGCAAAAACAAAGCAGATAAAACGCATTTTATTGTCCGATAAGTATAACTAAAGGGATTTAATCCGCTAGTATTGTTACCAAAACTACAATGACTTAAAACTAAACAAGAATGATATTACTACGGAGCAGCTCAATGAGAGTATTGGATTTTCTTTTATTGGAACTTGACAAAATTGCCTACCTAGATATACCTAGATTGCTTAGGTATTCCGAGTGAAGAATTGAAGCACTTCTTCTGATTAGGTTCAGATATTTATGATAGATATTTAATTGATTTACAAGGCGTTTATTTTGTCAAGCCGCCTAACCATATCGTCCATATATTTTTCTTAGTCTAATTTAGATACGATCTTCCTCGAAGTGATCATTCTAACCTGGGGAACAGAAAAAAATCATATGGTGTAAGTTAGGTGAACTCAGTGTTTGGTCGATTATATACGTAGAGTTTTTTTGTAAAATATTCTTGCGAAACGTGGAATTGTTTACCCGTCTCCGTCAAATTATAAGTTCCAGACACATTACAGACTAAATGCATTAACGAAGTGAGTACTGATTTCAAATGGTTATAGCTTTCTAATTGATGGCAACACCGCTTTCATATCTTACCTAACGATATCTAGTTTTATCTTAGAAAATACTCAACAGAACATGTCGAAAATAACTATATAAAGAAAATTTCGGAGTGATGACCCTGACTACTTCAATAGAAACATTTTACCAATGTTGAAATTTGTTAGAGTAAATATTTCTGTAGTGTCACAAAATCCAGTTATTAACCTACAATGGCTGCAAGACAGCATTCCAGACTTCATTTTGATCGCACAAGGGATTCCATGGTTACAGAATGTACAATCAATTGACTTTTCGATATTCTGATTCTGAAGATTCATGATTCGTGTACTCCATTATCAACTGCTTTGATAACTGCTTTTTCTGTTACCATTAGTAACAAATCAAGCTTAACTATAGTTTTATAATGATTAATATCATAACTACTATTAATGTAATTAATATTACAATGATTAAAGAAACTTTAACAGGAAGTACAGATAAATTTCTTGATTTCTTAGTGGAATATATATGTATATTCAATTCATATATATTCGCTCATCAACCTACCCATAAACTTGTTGCTGCTGCCGATAAGTTTGCTGATCGAGATGTTGCAGTCCAGTTTGGTTACTATGACTCGGTGCAATACCACCACTACGATACGTTAGAGCGGATGAAACGGTTCCACTGTTATTGGCAGTATTTGCATTACTTGTGATTTGCTGCTGTTGCTGTGACGCATAGGGAATGTTGTTTCGCAGTGCACTGTGATGTGCGTGCCCTGCGTAGTTATCGTGGGCAGTATGTTGATAGTGACGCACAGACATGTTTCCGAATTGTGGATGATGATAACTACGCGTATCATACGGATAATTGACAATGTGGTTGCTGTTGCTGCTGCTACCAGCATTGACGCTGCTGCATAGTTGTGTAGCAAGATCGGCGGCGCATTGCGCTTGCGCGCTACGATGATAATGATTGATGCGTGTGGTACGCGGAATAATTGTGGTACCGGCACCAGTTAATATAGCAGCACTGGATGATGTCGATGCTGTTGCTGCTGTAGCGTTCGTATCGTTATTATTGCCGTTGGTGTGGATTTGATTTAGTTGTTGTTGCTGTATCAGTTGCTGCTGTTGTTGTTGATGTTGTTGTTGTTGATGTTGTTGTTGGTGGTGCTGTTGTTGTTGCTGTTGCTGTTGTTGGTGCATGAAATATTGCTGTTGATGTTGAGGATTATTATTGATGTTATATGTTATTTGTAGAGCATTGCTGTTAATTCTATTGTTTGTATTGCTAAGATTGTTAATATGTTGATTGTTATGTGGTAGTGACTGCTGCTGTTGTTGCGGTTGTTGCTGCTGTTGTTGCTGTTGCTGCTGGCAGCTAACATTACTATTTAAGTTGTTATTATTGCTGCTGTGTTGAAAGTTTCTACTAAAATGGCAGTCTGCTGTTGTTGTTATTGTTGTAGAATTATTTGATTGTTGCTGTTGCGTTTGTGGGTGATGATGGTGGTGTTGATAATGTTGTTGATAGTTTTGCGAACTTTGATTATGCTGCAAATGTTGTTGTTGTTGCCTATGTATTGATGGTATTTTGTTACCACCTATTCTCCGTGGTGGATGTCCAAATCCTAAGCCAGTACCTGCACCAGATAATGAAGCTGCAACACGTGAACGCCCAAATCCACATTGTTGTGAACGTTTATCAATCCAAAAATGCATACCGCTGACTTACATACAACACTTAAAAGCAATTATTTAAATTTATTAGGTATATAACTGATATATATGTTTTATACTTAAGATAAACAGTTTATCGGATAATCGTAGGTATTCGATGTATGTTTCGAACAATCTAGAAATAACTGTCTGAAAAGAGAATAATAATAAAAATGACACATTAAACAGATTGTATTTTGGTGCACAAATCAAGCCGGAAACAAAGAAAATAAATTGCTTTCAGAAAATTTATTCAAAGTTAACTTCATTTACTGCTTACGGCTTGCTGTAGAAGCAGGAACAGGAAAAGAATTTGTATACACAAAGAAACTCTTTGTTAAACACAAACACTCTCACGACAGAGATTTTCAATACGGCCTGGTTAAGGAATTGAAGCAATAAATCTCTACAGAATTTCTTTTTTTGTAATGGACCTCACACGCACAACATACGCAGTCTAGACGAAGCACAAAGAACCCAAACCATCGAATAAAATTTATGTTCCTTGTTCGTTTTTGGTATCTAGGAATAAAGGGAATGATTTTAAAAGTTTTATTGTCATTTACAATATGTTAATATAAAAGATTTTGATAGCAATTTTTGAGTTTGAATTACAGTTAAAAAGCGTTTTAAAATATTCTATAATAACGATCAATTTCTCGCAACAACTTGTAAAACCGAGAAATTATTGCATAGTTTTAGGCCAATTTTATTCATTACGTTTAATTTTACTATTTAGAGCAGCAACATGTTGAGAATAATATTTGATTGAATCAATACATACATAAAAATATAAATAGTGTATATAAAAATACAATACACAATAAATAAATAGTGTATATACAATTAATAATATGCATTAATTAAAATTATATTACAAAACTAAAATACACAACAGAACTAAAATTTCCCACAATTTCAATATTTATATAAATTATATTTATAGTATCACCACACAAAACGAAGCAACATCTTAAACTTTATATAAACGTCTTCTGTCAATTACAGCTCTATAACTAATATATAAATATCTTTCACTCAGTGAAGTATAAAAAGGAGAAAAAACAATTGAAGCATTTTTCATAAATTCTTTTTTCTCAAATTTAAGTGATTTAAATAAGTGAAACTAGAGTTAAATAATTATTTTATATATTTAAAAATATATATATATCTTATTTATATCATTCATAAATTTTTATAATAATATGTTCTCATTTATTTATTTATTTATTTATTTATTTATGAGTTAACTCTAAAATAAATTTTAAAGTTAACTAAGAATAAGGAACTGGACAACTAGGTCCTTCGCCCTGTGTTATTAATTAAAATCAAGCGCAAATATGACTAAATTTTTTAGATATATATAAAAGACATTTTTATTTAAAAAAGTCTGCCCGAAAAGTAATTAAAACACTAAACCTCCATTAATAGTTCAAACATGGTTTATCCAAATAGTTTCCAAATACTTTTTTATACTTGAATGGGTTTAGAAACTATAATGATTCACACTTAATTTTATTTATTTATTATTAATTTTTATTTATTCTTTATCATTCTGCGAATATTTTTGGGTTAAAACTTTCCAAAATTTCCAAAAAAGACAAAATTTTTTTGACGCAGTCCATCGGTAAACATTCCCTCTTTTATTATTTTGGGAAATATCATTTTCAATGCATTTTCCATGTGATTTTAAAACTCGAAAAACAGTCGACAAATTGATTTGAAATTTTTATACAATACTGCTTTTCTATATGAAAGTATTTATATATACTTTTCCTTTTTAAGTTTCTACGAAAACTATAAATTCCAGACAAAACAAGAGGTTTAAATAAAAACTATGATATCTGACAATAACTGACAATATGCATCTCATTTTTTCACTCAGGCACATTATTATTCCTACTTATTTCTTTTAAAATATGAGCATCATTATTATAAATAAAATCACAGATGTAACATAACAAATCTACAAATTTATAGAATCCGTGATGGACCACAGTGAAGTAGTGCATTTTTCATCGCAGTTTTTAATTTCTTCGATGTTACCAGTTTATTATAAAATGGAACATGATAAATATGTTAAATAGTATACATTTAAATAAAAGATTAATTAGTTGAAAGTTGATAGTTAAATTAAAAAAATAATTTTGAGTGGATCTCATACGGTGTGAAGATGCACTTCTTCCACGAATATCGCTCATTTCGATAGACATGGCTTTTGAGTTTAAAGGAATTTTCAATATTCCTTGCGTTCACTATGATATTCAATACAGCTCAAGGACAATCTATGTTAGTGAGCGATTTGAGTTTGAAAAAGTAATTCCTCTTTTATGGACAGTTACATGTGGCATACCTTACAGTCACCCAATCATATGATATTTATGTTTATGTAGATAATGGATTAACAATAATTTACTACCTTTGCAACAAAAACCAATTGCCAGTGAAAAAGCAATTTTTTTTCACTCGGTTTAATTTATCGTTTTATTCTTTATCAGAGCCGTGTCAACGCAAACTGGGATTTCAAAGTGAATGATCATTTTTCTGGAGTTATCTATGTTTATTAGAGTACTTTTATTAAATTCTCTAATTAAGCTGTGCGACACATAATTTAAGATTTTTTAAAATGAAATTTTTTTTTCTACAGATTTATCATTCATTCCAACCTTACTGAAAACCCAAATTTCGTATCTCTAAAAATAAATATTTTTTTAATCCTTTAAGTTCAATTTTTAAAGTTTGATCCAGTATTGCCAGAGATGTCTAGGCAAAAATGGGTTGCAGATTTAAGCCGAGTGCTGTTAAGTATTTCGATAACGCGCGTTATTGCTTCAGATATGATATGTCCAAAGTTCTAAGTCTGGTTCTAAACTCTACGACTTTATGTCAATTAAATGTATGCGATATAATGAAACCTTTTTAAAGGACCCTGATGAGAAGAATAGAAAATTTCTGTAACATTCTGTAAAACTAGAACTTATGGTCTTTTCGATTGATGAATCTGTATTCAATCTAAATTTACTCTGGACCTATCAAATTTGTAGCCTAATCAAATATTATTAAAGTAGTCTAACAGTTTTGTAGTAGTGTTAGCAGACATTTATATTTTTCATAAATACACATATCTTATCAAATCACACTTTATGTATCAAGCTGTCAATTTCAGGGTAGTCTACAGCGAAACATCTACAGTGTTATAAATTATTCTTATTCAAGTGTTATACATTTCGCTCGATATTTACCAATCCAAAAATAAAAATTATACTGAAAATGAATCTCGATTTAAAAAGTATCTCGATTATCCCAGTTTTACCAATCAAAAACTGCATTAGCCAAGTTTATAGACTTGTTAGATTGATACACTTTTACTTTAATGTGGGAATCGTGCCATTCAGAGTTGTCTGTACGCTGACCACTGGGTCCTTTTCGAGTTGCTTCTGGTGTTCGCATTAGCAACATTAGTCCGTGGCATTCAAGCGAGATTTGGAGTGCAAAGCCACCACTCCAACCTAACTAATTATGAGTATTCTCAATCGCAAAATTAAATTAACCAAAAAGAATTTTAATTTTAATTAAAGTAAACACAGAAATTAATTGTCATTAAAATATTATGACGACAGGCTTACCAACACCGCGTTATCAAATCTCAGAGTGGCTACAGGCTCCTCGGTGAGGTATGCAATCCGAGGTCAATTATTGCTTGGTCTGATGAAGTGATAGAAAATAATTCAATCAAGGCGTAGAGAGCAGTTATGAAGAAACCTCGCAGTTAATAGAGAGTAAAAGTGGTCAAGTGCCCTGACTCAACTAGCCTCAACATAATAATAATATTTAAACTTGAACTAAAAATTTGAATCGAATTGAAACGAAATGCTTTGAGAACTTATCTTACATTATACCAAGAGTTTACTTTGAAATATATTTTTTTTATATATATTTTTGTTAATAAAATCTAAACTACTTAATCTAGGCAGAAATACTCACTTCCATTGATATATCAATCTTATCCTAATTCCTTCACAAAACAATTTTAAATCATTGTATTTACATAATAATAACGTGGTATCCCCCCACTTCGGCTGTTTGAAGAAGAATAAAATCTCAAATCATAATCCTGGCACATCAATTGTCAAAAATTACAAGGTCAATGAGCATTAAAGCGAACACGCACAAGCATCGTTGGCTTGCAGTCACCACATGGCAGCAAGTGTGAATTCGCTCAAATACTTCCCATGTCAATGTCACCACAACCAAAACAAAACAGAAATGTAAGGGAAAATATAACTAATAAAAGTTCACTTGTTGTTCAATGAACCGCTTGGATAAAGAACGCACATTTCCCTTAAACAACACTACCAAAAGTGCAGACACACACATTGGCACACTCACACAGGCGCACACACACACGACTCCACTGTTTTAATCACGCACATTGCTGTGCTTAGGAAAACGTGACTATTTGCCCTTTCGGTGCAGAAACCTCGAAAATCGAAATTCCTTTCTCATTTTATTTGTTTATTTACTTCTTATTTATGTGCTCGTTGGAGTTTACCTTTTTGTGGAAGTTGCTGGATGCACGGGTCAAAGTTCACATTTATTGAGTGCAATGACAATTTTACAAGTTACACAACAAACAAATAATGAACATCTTAAAGTAAACATAAAAATTTATTAAATTTAACAAGAATTTATGCTTTCATGTATTGGCGAAAAATCTGAACTTCATTGCTCGGAAAGGATGTACATGAATGAACCTAGCAAACTTGTTCCCTGCCTGTCTGTCACACAACATAACAATGAAATATGTCCTGAAGAGCTGAACTTTATGTGTGAATCCCCTGGATCGCGTAGTAAAAAGTGCATTTTAACGGCTCATTATATTCATCATTAAAGAAAAATAATGTTAATAAACTTCTACTTTTATTGCGTTGTCGTTTTATAATTAATTTATGCGATATAACTAATCATTTGAGTGTTTTAGTCATAAAGTTCCACGAACGAACGAAGTACATATGTATAAAATACCAAAGAACATTTACAATCAATTGCACAAAGTAATAACTTTCTTTATTTCAATAATTTAGGGTGAAGGCTTTTAGCCACATAATTTTAAGTAAAAGGTAAATATAATTAAATATAAATTTCTTAATTATATTATATCCTACTTGAGTCCTAAGCCCTTGTGCAATTTCGAGTAAATTGAGGTAAGGTAAATTGAAATTTCCTAGGGATTTTTTGCACTGCAGTTATATACATATTTATGTATTTATTTATTGCACTTATTTATTATTTTTGGTTAAAAGTTTTCAAATTTATTTATATATTTATTAAACATTTAAAAAATGTTCACAATGGTAACACCTAATTTACCTAATTTTTATCTAATTTACCCTACTCGAAATTCTGGTAAATACCAACATTCCCTGCCATACCGACATAATTTACTATTTCCCTGGCTATTAAGGTCGTGTGCGAGTTAGGCTAAGTTGATGCTAAACCAAATGGGAGATTTTTTGGGATTTTTTGCACTACACACATTTTGCCATTTATCAACACGTAT